TAAGTGTATCTACAGCAGGGGTGCCAAAAGGAAGATCCCCAGATGTTGTAGAACTGCAATGCCTTTGGAACGACCAAGCTTCATGGAAGCTGTAGTTTTTAAAGCATCTGGTGATCTACGTTTTAGCCCCCCTGATCTATACCACGCTCCATGCTGTCATTATAACAGCCCGACAGGCAGCCGTAACATGAAGACCCTGTCCACTTCAAAAATTCCTTCTGGAGTTGGTAAACCACAATTTTATGTTGACTGCACTGAATTGTTATCTGTTGTAAAGAAATAAATATATATATATTCTCGTTCATTACTGTATTGAAATGCACAGAGTAAGCCTCTTCCTCTCAGGGGGCGACGGGGGCCTCTTAATACATTGAAGAAGATGAAAAAAAGGTTAATTAATGTAAGCAGCCATCTTTCATGTGAGTCACACTAGCTCTGCAGTCGCAGCTTGAGGAGTGCCCGCTAAGTATGACAAGACTAACATTATGATATCGTGAGATGCATCCTACAGCGTGCTGTGTGCAGCGTGGAGGAGAGGTTGTCATGGTAACTGTCGTACATGCAAGCTCAGGGCACTTTGCAGAGAGAGAGAGTTGGATGAAACACTATCACTGCTGCCAGGATTTAACCCTTGTACTGCTGCAGTGGGGTCCGTGATTAGATCGCATTGGGGCTTATTCACTAAACATTGAATTATCGCGAATGGGAAAACCCAAATTACAAATTTAAGTCCACAATAGCTGATGGGGGGTGGGGGGGAGGGGGAATTACAACTCTGCTGTAGTCACGGTTTGGCTATTATAGTCTGAATTTTGCCATATCTTCATTTCACCATGTTGTCTAGTGAATAAACCCCACAGGATGGATGAATGTTTCAGTGGATTAGTGTCAGATCACATATTAGAAGCCTGGTTTCCGTAATTGTTCCTCAAACAATTTCCAGATGATTGGAGCAGGGTTTGGGTTGAGTGTGGGGTCATTTGTGAATGATGGTACTTCTAAAGCTAAATTCATCTTTCAAACAATAACATTGATTAGCATAACTCTCGTTTCCATTAAGAAGCTATCACTTCCCAGTATAACACTATATTTTATTTTATTATTCCCTATATTTCAGAAATATGTATTTGTGAAGTTTAAAAAAAAAAGTATAAATTCACAACCCTTTATCTTGTGACTGGGTGATTCCGTAGCTCTGTACAATGGGTGGACTAACAGACATGTAATTGTAACCAGATAACTGGTTGTACAGGAACAGAGAGGTAGAGGGCCCTGCTCAATGAGCTTACATTCTAGAGCATTGATGGCGAACCTATCGGCAGGACCGGAAGCAGCTCTCCTGTCCTCCCGTGAGCTGTGTGGAGCGTTGCCGTGCGTTACCATGGCAATGCTCCACACAGCATCACGGGGGAGGACAGGAGAGCTGCTTCCGGTCCTGCCGATAGGTTCGCCATCACTGCTCTAGAATGTCCTACATACTTACCACCACCACCGGACCACCAGGGATGGCTGTGCTACCCCCCTCCCCTTCACCAAAGGTAAGATGAAGGGAGGAGGGGGGGGAATACTGATTCAAAATGCTTTTTTAAAAGAAAAAGTTTTTAATGTATCTTAAACCCCCCAACAGAGCATCCCTACCCCCCCCAACAGAGCATCCCTACCCCCCCCAACAGAGCATCCCTACCCCCCCAACAGAGCACCCCTACCCACCAAAAGAGCACCCCTACGCCCCCACACACAGCACCCCTACCCTCCCCACAGCACCCCTACCCTATCCCAAACAGCACCCCTACCCCACAGAGCACCCCTACCCCCCACACAGAGCACCCCTACCCCCCACACAGAGCACCCCTCTCACACACAGCACCCCTCACACACAAACACATACACTGCACCCCTCAATGCAGTATATGTGTGTGTATTCAGCAGTCTTTATGTAATCAGCAGTGTTTTCAGTTGACTGTGTGTATTCAGCGGACTGTGTGTGTGTGTGTGTGTGTGTGTGTGTATTTAGCAGTCTGTGTGTGTGTATGTATTAAGCAGTCGGTGTGTGAATTTATTCAGCTGTGTGTATGCATTGCATTTGTTGGAGATACTAATAAATATAAGCTTAATTTTATCTATTAATATCATTATTTAAAATTTGTATAATTGAACTCTGTGTCTTTTAAAACAAAAGATGTTAACTAGTTCGGAAAACTGTACGAGTTGTTTTTTCTAAACTTAAATCTTAGTATTCAGGTTTAATTGCCGTGTTGGCACTTTGATGAAAAAAAAGTTGGCATGTATTGCGGTTTGGGCACTCGGGCTCAAAAAAGGTTCGCCATCACTGTTCTAGAGGGAGTGGGGTATAGTAACACAAAAGTAGGGGTACAAAGTCGTTTGTTAGAAAAGTATTCACTGAGGGCTTAGTAGGTCATTTTTGACAGTTGCAGGAGAGGAGTCATGGGTGGTGGGGGATAAAAACCTGCTAACAGTTTATTTGATATGCTTTCTTGAAGTGAGTTTTCATGTTTTTTTTGAATGAGTGGAGACTGGGTGAAATTCTTACTGAGGAGGGAAGGGAGTTCCACAGAAGAGGTGCAGCCCTGGAAAAGTCTTGGAGGCGAGCGTTAGAGGTGGGAGTATGGACAGAGGATATACGTAGGTCTTTGACAGAGCGCAGGGGCTTCGACGGGACATACTTGTGTATTAGGGAGGATAGATAGGTTGGAGCAGCATTATGTAGGGACTTGTAAGTAAGAACCAGAATTTTAAATTGAGCCCTATATCTAACTGGAAGCCAATGCAGGGACTGACAGAGTGGGGAGGCGTGAGAGGTGCGAGCGGACAGCAAAATGAGCCTCGACACCGCAATCATTATAGATTGCAGCGGTGCAATCTGAGAACATGTAAGGCCACTGAGAAGGGTATTGCAGTAGTCAAGGCGAGAGAGAACAAGAGCATGGACCAGCACCTCAGCTGCATCCGAGGTTAAATAAGGGCGGATGTGCGCTATGTTTTTGAGATGGAAGCGACAGGATTTGGCGATTGATTGGATATGAGGGGTGAAGGAGAGGTTGGAGTCAAAAAGAACACCCAGGCAGCGAGCCTTCGAGGTAGCGGTGATGGTAGCGCTGTTGACTTGCATATACCTCAGTGGATAGAATGAGATGCATTAAATGTCTGCAAAGTGGATTTAAAGATTAATTTTGTATTAGCGCAAACACCAAACAATACGATTATTGGAAATGGAAAATATCTTGGTAAACTTATATATTTTTTAAATCCCGAAAATTTATTTTGACGTTAATTGTGTTTATTTTGTTCTGTTTTTTTTTAATACGTCTGTGTTGCTTTTTTTGAACGGTGTTGTATATGAATTCAAAGATATTACACCACAGGAAAGTAACGCTTGCAGCATTATTCACTAAACGGTTAAATGTTGTGAAGTGCAAGTTTTATGCCAAAATAGCCCAACTGGAAATTTTTGCCTTAAATTTGTCATTTCTTGGTAAATTGTCAGGATTAGGAAGCTCTGATTTTTGCCTCCAAAATTCCAAGATTTTGGAAAAATTGCCCATTTTGCCACCATTTATACTATGACAATGGGTGTGCACAATGTTATCATTCTGAGCATTAAGACAAACATTTGGCAGTGTGTTACACAGAATTATTGCGAGAACACCCAGGGTTATTCACGAATGATATCAGGAATTCACAATTCACTTTACATTAGCCAAATTGTAAGAATTCTTCAAGTCTTCAGCAGACCATTCGCATTGAAAGAGACACTCCACACACCTACAAAAAATTTTGTTTGATAAAATGCTTTATGTATGAAGCGTGTGGTGTTGTATTTATTTTATTTTTCTTCCAACCTTCTTACACCCTCCTGACCATGACACAACCGGCCCTGTTACTATTTCTTAGTTGTTTAGCTCAGTGGAGCTAAACTCAAGAGACAGCAATTGCTCAGAGCACCTGCCTTGCAAAGACTTCTCTCATTGAGCTGCATTGGGAAATCTGTGATTGGACAGTCACATAAAATCTGGGCGGGGTTAGAAGGGGAGGGCATGCAAAGGCAGCAGACAAGAGATCTGCAGTTTTAGCTAGATGTTTTTCTATATACCCCAAATGAAAAAAAAATGCATAATTAAATGCAAGCATTGTTTTATTTGGGGTCTTTATTGTTTTTATTTCGGGTAGAGGAGTGTCCCTTTAAAAACGCTGCTCTCATGCTTTCTCTCGTATGTCAATGGTTCACTGATCTTGGCAACAGAGAAAAATTAGGCCCATTACATTGTCTACAAAGGCAAGGTTCAGAATTTAACCCTGTGTTTTGTTTTTTTAACTCTTTATTTAAAAGATAGGAAAATTCACGTCACAAAGTGTCAAGACACAAAAGACACGTACATTACAAATTAGCATCTAGACAGGTATTCATTCTGGTACGAAAGTTACATGTAACTGATATCCTTGTCATCATTGTTATCCTATGGTTAACACCATCATTGTGTTTTCATGTAAGTTAACCTAAAAAAAAAAAAAAAAAGTAAAGTAACTGTTCATTAAAAAAAAAACTTCAATCAGGAAGAGGAAGTGCATGTTGGGAAGTAACATGTGCTGAGCACCTGCTAACATGCCGCAAGTATTGAAAGTGTGAATGAATGTGTAATCAAAACCGTTGAACAAGGTTGTTGGTTTTGTGTGTGTGTGTTTTAAATATTAAGATTTAGTAATGTTATGGAACATGAAAATTGAAGATGACACTTTACTTAATTAAATTTGTCTTGGAGTTTTGATTCATTCAATCAGGAATTGTGAAGACATTGATAAGTTCATGGAAAATAATGTCTCCAAACTACCTAAGCTGAGAAAATGTCTGCCTGAGAATGTTTGTTTGTTTTTTCCCAGTTCTGTCATTCTGGTGTAAAATGTGTTAATTCCATGTAACTTTTTCACAATTCTTGATTTAGCGAACAAACCCCCTGTGTCTTGTGCAATCATTCCACATTTCTCACTAAGGATTTGTACACTTTGCCCTCTTACAGAAGGACAAGCGAGATACCTCTAACTTTGATAAGGAGTTCACGCGTCAGGCCTTGGATCTCACCCCCACTGACAAACTCTTTATCATGAACCTGGATCAAAACGAATTCGCCGGATTCTCCTTCACAAACCCAGAGTTTGTAATCCTTGTGTAAGGGAAGGCAACTATCCCACTGGAGTCCAGTTCCCCGCAAGAAATACTTAACCCATGAAGGATACCATGAGACAACGTAGAATATCTTCATGTGTTATTCCTTTACTACAGCAACCTGGTATTGTGCTGCCTGTCCCTCAACCAGGCGGACAATAATACATTCTGGGTTATATCTGTGTAATGCTTCTAGATGCACTGAAGGGGTATTTTCTAGCTCCTGGCTAATATACAGATTGTATGTGTTATTATCCCACTATGGGGGCATTGTCCATGGACTCTGCATTATGTGAGCGCCACCTCCGAGTAGAGTAGTGCTTATTTGTGGTTTGGGGGGTATATTTTTGGTTTCATTCTGAAACCTACCAGGATTTTGAGGGCAAATGCAACCGAACAGGTAAAAAAAAAAATGAAAAGATGAGTTTCTAAAACTTTCCGTGGTCTGTCCACGGTCTTAAACCTAGATACTCATGTGGTACACTCTAGTGAATGGCAGCTCCATAATCAATTTTTAATAATGCATTAAAGTAAAATCCTAGTTAGCCGACTAGGGGGTATTTGCCCTGGTGCTCCCCCCTCTTGGTTGGTCTTTAGTGAACTAAAGGAGCTTTTAAAACTGTTGAAGTCCACTGAAAGAATGTAATTTTTGACGTTGGCTGGAATGCTTTTGTTACCCAGACACTGTCTCTTTCAAACCCACATTTATGTTTAGATTCCATGGTTGTGATTTTTAGGGTATATAATAAGAGTGAGGGGATCAGTATGGTCAGAAATTCAAGCCAAGATCGTTAATCATCTCTTGAAGGCCACATACCTTCTCCAACGCCTCACTGAAATATTGGGCTTCCCAAAAACATTTTGCATGTTTACATGGGAACGTGTGAGGTTTCCTTTATAGAGCTGAATTCTGGGGCAATATTCTGACATTTGTGTAATTGCCATGGAAACCAACAGACTGTTCAAGCTGATCCCTCCTATTCTAGATTGTCAATCTATCATTTTTCATTTTATTGACCCCTGTAGTGTTAATAGAGGGCGCAGAGTAGGTAGCAAGTAGTCCTACTGGGACAGGTCCTCTGCCTGTGGGAATATGATTATAACACTAAACAGGTTATTCACTACAGAGGAAATTCAAAGTGAATTTTAAATTTAAGGTCAAAATAGCCGAATTGGAAAAAAATATTTGCATCAGCTATGCATTCTGTTTGGCTACTCTGGCCTAAAATTTAAAATCCACTTTGAAATCGTGACAATTACTATTTTAGAATTATTTGGGTTATAATAAATGTGGTCACAACTGCGGATCCTAATGCACATGCATTTTTCATTGCCGTTTCCTGTATACCAAGAATTCTGGGATGGATTGTAAAACATGTTTGGGAAACAAAGCATTCAGGAGTTGAGGTTAGACTTTTTAGAATCACAGATATTTCATATTATTCCATCTGGCTCTGTGTATAGATAAAATGAGATTTAGATGAACTTAAAGGGACAATGTAGTCACTGTAACTGCTTCATCTCATTGAAATTTTAATAATGTCTGAAGTCCCATACCGCCATTCTTCCATACAGCATTAAATAGTGTGTCAGCTGACTGTTTTCAACCTATCACAATACCCATTGTTGGTATAAATTGTTTTGGCTCAAAGGAGACGGCAATCCCGGCCTTAGTCCTACCTGCAGTAGGGGCTGGGTTGTTGGTGGTCAGGGACCCTTAATTAGTATTAAACTGCTTGAAATATAGTTTAAAACTTAGTAGAGAGACAGCATCCGTAGGCTCCGGGCACTATAACCAATTTAATGAGATGACATGATTATAGTGCCTACAGTGTCCCTTTTAAGGGGGCCCTGCCTTTAGAGTTAAAACACCGTCCTTTCAAAGGGGACCTGTCACGTCACAAGATTTTAAACCTACAGCGCTGTATCCTGGGTGCCTCCATTTTATCTCTCTGTCCGTCATGGTTATTAATTCCGTATTTTGCACTTGGCAGTCAGCAGAGAGAAAACTTACAGAGTGGCTGAAAATAAACAACGTTTCTATTCCTCCATCTTCATCAGCCCTAGCTGTGCCTGGCCTGATCTGGGTTGTGATGTCCTTTCCTAAATCTTTAATAGAAATGTAAAAGGCCAAGGGAAAATCCTGTAATAAAAAGGTTAACACTAGTTCTAAGTGATTTTCCATGTTTTAATCAGTGGTGTAATTCCCAGATAAGTGACAGTTCCTCTTTATTGTAAGATGTGATCCAGCCATTAATCATTGGTATGTTTGCCTGAGCATATTACGTTTATATGTCCACTTGTGTTGGATTATAAGCAGTCTATAACAATCTGTTTCTCTATGTAGAATTTAGTCACTGGGTTAATAGCATACTTACTCACGAAAGTGTGAATTAAAGTCAATTTCAAATTTTGGACAATAATAAAAAAATTGGAAAATTTTGATAAGTCTGGCATATTTTTAATTGGGCTATTTTGGACAAAATTTGAAAATCACTTTGAATTCCTAACCGTTCCCACCTTAGTTAATAATACTGTGTGGTTTAAAATGTACTCCGAAATAACTGCAATGGATGCATTGTTGATTTGGATAGATTTTTAATTTCTCAGCTCCATTATGTTGAATTAAAGTATGCAATACTTAATAAGCAAACAAGACCTCTGATGACCCTCCAGCATAGCATCATGGGATTTGTAGTCCATTTTAATCTAGAGAGTAGAAGGTAGCTGACCTCTGCTATAACCACATACGCAGGGATAATGGATTTGAAGGATGACTGAGCTTTCTTTCAAAGCTTGTGCGTCCAGGAATATTCTAAGCGACCTCCGCCGAATACAGATCTTCTCTCAAAAATGCATCCATGCCCTTTACACTTCCATTTAACTAATCTCTTGCCTGAATGCTTCCTCCATCAGCTCTACAGCTCTCAGAGCGTCTTCCTCGGCTAATTCTGAACACGTCGGTATAGTCTATTCTAGTCACAGCTAGCCTTGGCATCTAAGATCTTTGTGAACTACATCTACCATGAAACTGTTGGCAAGACTTATTAAGGGATTAGCAAACTATATTCATAAAACAGCAGAGAGCGAGTCTGAGGTTTAGAGATTATGATTCGAGTCACATTCCCCATAGGGTACAACATGAAGTAGCACGATATAAGGAGGGACAAGGCACGTAAGTCCCACCTGAATATGCCTGATCCCATGCACTCCACCTATCACGCCATGGTGCTCACAATGCTTTTCATGGCATTGTGATCCGATATAGTGTTAGAGAGCGAAGGAAGTCGTGGATAGAATAAAATCTAAGCAGCAATTGTTCTAAAAAGGTTGACCCTATGTGTATTAATTGGGAGACCAAGTTTCCTCTCCACTGAGTGTTTGGCTGGAGATATACCAGGTGGACCTGAAGACCTTGCCATGAGTACTGGTTTTTATGATGGTATTAGAGGTGTCTCCAAGCTGGGTTGCACCAATGAAGTAACAATATTCATATAAGCAGCATTCTGAAATCTTGCAATATGTTTGGAAAGACTAGCGCAAATATAAGACGTCCACGTGAACTGTGATTGCTGAAATTCCCTAAACATCAGATTGTGGTAAATGAAAACAAAATGTAAAAATAAATGTAGGCAGTTCTAACCTGAATTTCGCAATCCAATTTCATTTCACTAAAATTAAGTATCCAGTAAAGAAACACATTCTCTTATAGCTTTATAAACCACTATTTTTTGCATTCACTTCCGATATGAAACTGGGTGTTTATTCTTGGAAATTAAGTTTCATTCATTTACTTGCTTTCTCAAATTTTTTTTTTTTTTGTGATTTAGACATTTTTCGTTTTGCACGTTCCCTTCTAAGCTGCAAAGAACGACCTTGGCTAAAAGGTCAGCTAAGTATCATGGGACATGCAGTCTCTGTGCGTCAGTAATACCAAGGTTAAACATCACAGCTCTAGGACATGTAGGGTTAATGAACCTAGCTCGGCTCTGGAAGCTGCCCTGCAATAAGTTTGTTAATCTAGCTCTTCAGCTGAGGTGGTAGATGTGTGTTCATTGACCCTGTGTCTCCTACAGAGGTTGATTTGAATAGCACATTCGCTGCTGTTTACTTAACAGTGACGCACGCTGAGGGTATTGAAAGGAACTGTAAACTGAGTTAATGTACCGCTGGCCTAGCAGGCTGAGACAGACAGAAATAGAAACACAGCCAGCCATTTTTATCAAGACAAAACTGGTGCTATCCCTGGCTAAATAAGGAGCAATCACCATGGTAACAAAGACAATGTTGCTCAAGCTGGAACACTTTGCTCCAGAACAGCACATGTTTGCCTCAAAAAATATAGTATTTCTACTTATTTAGTCCAATTCATGTCGCAGCTTACTTTATACCCTTCTGCCCAGTTCAATTTAAGAAATCCCATCTGATACTGTCAGGAAGTGATTGACTTATATGCAGGTTATTCTATACTCTATACTTTTACACTGCCAGTGAGAGAGTTCGGTTGGTTACTGCACCAACTGTGCAGGTTGCTCAAACAGAGTTGTCGTTTTAATCTCTTGGCAGAGTCAAATTGGCTTTTTATTCATTTAAGTTGATAACAGAATTTACATTGAGGTAGATACTAATTCATGCCACCCAACATACCTGATTTCAGTGGGGCAATACATTTTTTTGGGTCCTCTGCAGTCTTCCCCACTTTGGTCCCTGTGGTACCACTTTTGGGGACACCTGGTAACTGTCTCCAAAAAGTGTAGCGCAATAAGCCTCCACAAGTTAATTCCGGACGGATGGATCATATTAAAATGCACTGGATTTGTTCGTACTAGCTGAAACGCATTTGTGCGCAAGTCTGATGGCCTTTGCAGTGCCAGACCCAGGCAGACCATGTGCAGGATGCTTTGAAATCACTCCGGGCATTGGTTAAAGTTTGCGAAGGTCAGGCACTTTCTACAGGTCCTTCTACTGGGGACACTAGGGAACCGATTGGGAATGGAGCCCAGATCTGAAATGGTCCCACTAAACCCAGAACTGTCAGGTGATATGTCGGTCCTGGACAGTACATGGCTTAGCGAATAATCCCCATGGAATTATTTGCTAAGTGATTATGCACACCGTGCCGATGTGACAGCATAATGCATTAATGGATTTCAATTTTGCGATGTAGAGTGCCGTATATTAATTATGCAACTTGGAAAATGAGCGCTGACTCACACTGCGATCTAAAAAAATTAAAAAGGTGATACAATTATCCAGTAGTACTAAAGTCTGTCAGTTGATCTTACTTTGCTGGTTCCGCTTCAGAAAAAGAAGGGACGGTTTATTCATTAAGCAGTGAATTGAAAACCAAATTGCAAATTTCAGACCAAAATAGCTGATTTGAGAATATTCTCCAACTCTAGTCAAGTCTAGTCACAGCTTTTTTTGTCTGAATTTTGCAACTTTATTTTTAATTCACCGCAATTAAGAGAATAAATTGACACATTTTCTCATGACGTTAATAAATGTAAAAATATTAACCCCCGACTGCTTCCCCCTTGTTCCTTAAAGGGATTCTATAATGCAAGAAAAATAAACCCGTTTTCCTGGCACTTTAGGTGATGTGCCCCACTCCCTTGCACCCATTCACCCTCCTCCCCCACGGTGCTGAAGCAGTTAAAACTCCTTCAGTCACTTACCTGAATCCAGCGCCGATGTTCCTCTGCATTGGGTCAGGCTCCACCCACGCTCCTCCCCCGCTGGCAATGGCCGTGCTCGCATTAGGATTTCCCCATAGGAAAGCATTAATCAATACATTCCTATGGGGGGAAAATCTGACGCTGGAGGTCCTCATGCCGAGCGTGAGGATGTCCAATGTCAAACAACGGACCAAAGGTCCATTTCGATTCCGGAAGTCCCTCTAGTGGTCTGGTAGGCAGTTTCTCAGAAACTGCAATAATTACCACTGTAGGGTTAAGGGACATTGCACCCAGACCACTTTAATGAGGTGAAGTGGTCTGGGTGCCCACAGTGTCCCTTTAATATGTTAAAATACAGGTTAAAAAAACTTGGTTATGGAGTAACTTGTGGTTATGGAGTGTTAGGAGGGGTTATGGGTGCTGTCCTTAATTTTTTTGTTAAATTCCTTTCACGTGTATTCACAAAATATATCGAGGATTTCCCCATTTAAGATATTGGCCAACCATTACTTTCTAACAGTATGAGAACAAGAAAGGCGAAGATTGTGCTAGAAATTTATCTACATGGCTTAATGTAATGTAAATTATTGATGTAAAATGTAGTTTTATCATGTTAAACAATTACTGTCACTACACATACTCTACTATCTAACAAGGCTATGCCCTAAAGTGTGAACTGTCAGAAAATTAAAGTGACTTTCAAATTGTAGGCCACATTAGATGAACTGAAAACTTAAACTGATTAAATACTTTTTCCAGTTTTGACAACTTTGGACTAAAATTTTTAATTATTAAATTTGATATTTCTAGATTTTAATGCATATATATGTTTTTCCCCAGTTGTAACTGATTGGTACTAAATTTGTGCACGGAAGAAACATTTGTTTCAGTTGAAGCATTTTTCCAAAAATTACATTTCATTCGGGACCTCCGACATTCATGCATTTGATGGTTCGGTCATCTGAATATCGTTCGTGGTAAATATTTAAGGAAACAATTTATACGAACCAAAAAGGGTGCGAAAATGGGCCAATCCGTGTACTTGTAATTTGATCTGTGAATAAGATCACCATTTACAGGGTTATTCACTCATAAATGTAGTTTGTCCGTAGCAGACAAAATTTGGTGAAAATGACTGAATTCCGACAGCAACAGCAATTCTCATATTTACTAAAACCAAATACTGTTGGAATTCAGTACCCATGAGTGAATCTGCTATATCGCCAGATGCATTCGACAGCAAATGATAATTCTGATTACGATTTGCCAGCTTACAATAAGGCAGGTTTTAACCATTATGTCTTATTGACATCCATAGGATTTTTTTTACATATTTATTAAATTTAGCGATTTAATTTGGCAGCTGTTTTAAAAAGGCTGGTCAGATGCAACATCATTAACAATCGTGCTGCCGAATGTTTTTAACTTGGCTGCTAGTGCTGCAACCAAGGAAATAGTTTAACATTTTATTTAAATTTGGGCCTGAATTTGAAGCCTTTGGATATCCCCCGGATTTAATTAATTCAATCCAAATTTCAGTTGTCCGGTGGCGTTTGGTCCGGCTCAAATCTGGTGCAAATTCAGGCCTGTTTGGTGCCTGATTTGCAAAAAACAAACATTGTTGGATAGCGCAAACAATACTCTGGTTTTGCAGTTTGAATGGCCCTGCACAGAAGCGAATGGTTTTCCCCATTTGGTATGGGGTCATTTGGACTTTAGTGAATAGCTTTAATAGAGGCTGTCCTTTAACCAGCAATCATCTTTTTTTCCCCATTAATCATTTCTTTTTTTGGTAACATGGGTGGAACTCTGAATCCGCAAGCCAACGAACATTCTCATCCAGTGCACTAATCGTTTGCATGGATAAAGGTCCGTAAAGCTCTTTAGAGATACAGAATTTGGCCAAACCACCAATCGACCTAAATTCGGCAAATTGCAATACAGCTGAAGATGAATGCACATGTCTAATTTGTACATGTGACTCTTAATGCCAGTGCATCTTGCCATAAAAACATCCACCAAATTTTTTTTTTAAATAAAATTTTTAAATATATATTTTAAAATATACAGAATACAAGAAACGTAAGTCATATACATATATATATATATATATATACATATATATATATATCCACATATAACAATATAATCTTGAATATCTATTTTTTATATCCTGCCTCATAAAAGAAAGGTCACTTGATTTTTTTTTAAATCTTTTCTGAAAACTCCTCCGTTCACGGCAAATTTGTTTAGACAGAACATTTTCTATAATCAATCGTCTGCCTTGAGGCTCCCTGAGTGTTGTGGAAATTGATGCTCACCAATAACTGGGGTTCCAAGGTTAACCATCAGTGGAACTTTAAAGGAACACTATGGTGCCAAAATTGCCCTGGCAACTCCAATTGCAAATCGTAAACCTATTTTAGCCTAGTTTGTCTTACCTGGGTCCGTCAGATACCGCCTGCTTTGGAGCTACCAGCTTTCTGGTGGAATTAGTACAGGTGTTGGGCAATGCCCTTCAAATCCCAGGTGAAAGTTCAAATCTTTCTAAAACCGTTTAGCGATTTACAATAAGGGGGCAACGGGGGACTCTGGTAACCATAACCATTGCAGCATGCTATAGTGGTTATAGTACTCAGAGGTTTCCTTTAAAGTGGTCCAGTACATAAATGCTGTACATTAAGACTGGAATTTAAAGAGACAGTCACATGACTGCTGACCCCGGACCAACTCCCACCCCCTGTTGCCCAATAAATACACAACACCTTCTGTATGGGTAAGGGCAACGGCCACAGCTTTATTAACAGAATTAACATCGATTATCACCAGCGTCCACAACCTGTCAGCTGTTGGGGATTACCAACAGACAGCTCTATCAAAAGACCCACGAGTCCAATGCAGCCTGCCCCCGCCATCAGCTCTCAGCAGGCTGCGACTCCCCAAGCCGCTTGGGCACTTCTTCCAAACCTCTTCGCTGGCCAGGACTACTGCGAGCTGTGACAAAACAAAGAAACAACAGCACACAACCAACAAACAACACCATCATAACACACGTTTTGTGGGTGGGTGGGCGGGAAGCTAGCAACACTACACCTCTGCCCAGGAACTGGTGAGTACCCTCCCCTTTTTCCCCATCTTAATGTCCCCCCATGTGTAACAATGTATCCCCTTGTGACCCAACCCCTTATCCCTGCCAGCAGTCATGTCCTCCCTTCCTTAAGATGTCCAGGGAGGTACTTGACTGCTGACCCCGGACCAACTCCCACCCCCCGTTGCCCAATAAATACACAACACCTTCTGTATGGGTAAGGGCAACGGCCACAGCTTTATTAACAGAATTAACATCGATTATCACCAGCGTCCACAACCTGTCAGCTGTTGGGGATTACCAACAGACAGCTCTATCAAATGACCCACGAGTCCAATGCAGCCTGCCCCCGCCATCAGCTCTCAGCAGGCTGCGACTCCCCAAGCCGCTTGGGCACTTCTTCCAAACCTCTTCGCTGGCCAGGACTACCGCCACCGCGGTTCCTCCCTACCTACTCCCCTGGGAGGGACCGCGCCCCCCCGCAGCCAGCGCCTCCTCAATACCTGCCTGAAGCCCCGCATTCAGGATATCCAATCCTATATCCAATCCTATGAATCGCTGCGTCCGAGAAACCCCACAAACTAGCCTGGGTGGCCGCCTCTATCCGAAAAGAATGAGTAGAATAATGGCGAGGATTCACCCCGCATGCAACCAAGGCAGCACGGAACCTAGCTGAGAACTGATAACATGTAAGGGGGGACCCATCCCTATGCACCAGAAAGGAGAGGCACCACACCGGCCGAATCTGCAAATACTCTGAGAAAAGACGGACCGGACAAAACCTGCCTCTCGTGGCACCGATACGCACCAATGAACCCCTACCTACCTGGTCTGTCTTGGAACGCCGTATGAAAACATCTACGTAGTCCTCGGACCACCGGATATCCGCCATGAGCAGCGGCCCCACCGCCCAACGGTTGCGTGCCACCAACTCGCCCACCCTAAAAGCTCCAAAAAAACAAAAAGCAAATGCAATCCGAAATAATGAGGCTTCATAGTCTGAGAAACAAACCGCCCCCAGAGCCGCCAGGATCCGACCCAGCAAGTCGGCTGACACCGGGAGGCGGCGGTCCGGGGCTCTCCTAAGTCTCCAACCCCGAATAACCCGCTGAATACCGAACCACCGAGAAACGTCTTGCCAACCCATAGACCGACAAAGAAAAGATAGGGCGCTCAAAGCCTTCTCGGCCGCAGAACAAGACTTACCCTGCGCAAACATGGACTCCAACAGTAGCAGAGTCGCCTCCAAGCGCCCGGACTCCGACCCCAGCATCATATCCTGCGAAAACGAGGACAGCCACGTCCGCCAGACGGCTTGATATGCCTTCCAGGAAGAGTCAGCTAAGGAGTCCGACACCAAGCTCCTCAATCCTCCAAATCGATCGCCCATAAGGAAACCGGACATCGGATACCCACTGCCTCCGCGGCTGGCGCCGACTCCCGAAAACAGTCCCACTGAAACCGAGAAAGAGAGTCAGCTACCACGTTGTCAACACCCGGGACATGACAAGCTCTAATCCAAACATTGAACTTTAAGGAAAGAAGTACCAACCGTCGCAGTAGCGCGAGAACTGGAGGGGAACTGGAGGTGGAACGGTTTATCACATGGACAACACTCATGTTGTCCGTGTGAAAAACAACAGTCCTGTTGGCCAAAGCCTTCCCCCAGAGCTCCAGAGAGACAACAATGGGAAACAACTCCAAAAACGTCAGGTTACGCATAACATCCAAACCCCGCCATCGAGCTGGCCATGCCTCCGCGCACCACTTACCCTGAAAATATGCCCCAAAACCCACGGAGCTGGATGCGTCAGTGAAGAGGTTCAACTCCGAGTTAGACGCAGCCTCCAGCAACCAGCAGGAGCGTCCATTGTAGCGCTCCAAAAAGGAGCTCCAAACTTGGAGGTCCGCGCGCAGACGCCGCGTGACTCGGATAAAATGAAAAGGCTCCCGAACCCCTACCGTGGACAAGGAGAGGCGCCTGCAGAACGCACGTCCCATGGGAAGAACTCGGCAAGCGAAGGCCAAGTGCCCCAGAAGCACCTGCATTTGCCGCAACTGCACCTTCCTCGCCCCTCGAACCAGGTCGATCGTCCGCAAGAGAACCGACACCTTCTCTTCCGGCAGCCTAAAAACCATACCGACAGAGTCGATCTCAATCCCCAAAAATGACAAAACCCGAACCGGGCCCACCGTCTTAGCCTCTGCAATGGGGACCCCGAAATATCCCATGACAGCCCGAAACGTTTGTAAAAGCCGCTCACACTCACCCGAACCCGGAGGGCCAACGAAAAGGAAGTCATCCAAGTAGTGAGTAGCAGACTCCAAACCCGCCTCCTGTAGCGTTACCCATTCGAGAAAACAGGAAAACATTTCAAAATAAAAACAAGAAATAGAACAACCCATGGGCAAACACATGTCGTAGTAAAAAAAACACTGAAAAAAACAGCCTAGCAAGTGAAAACAGGAGGGGTGAACTGGCAACAGACGGAAAGCCGATGCTATGTCAGATTTTGCCAACAAAGCACCTTGCCCGGCCCGACGAACTAACTCCAAAGCCCTATCAAATGATGCATATCGCACGCGACAGATGTCCTTGCCAATGGCATCATTTACCGATTCACCCGCCGGGTAGGATAGGTGCTGGATCAAACGAAAGGAACCTGGGTCCTTTTTGGGAACCAATCCCAGAGGGGAGACCCTCAAGTTAGGAAAAGGTGGCGCACTAAACGGGCCAGCCATGCGACCCGCCTGCACCTCCACCTGCAATTTTTGCTGTAAAATATCTTCTTTGCCCTTAACCGAGCGGAGATTGTCCGCGAACTGAGGGAAAGAAGAGGGAACAAAGGGGATCCAGAAACCTACCTGAAAACCATCAAACAATGTCTGTGCATCGCGACCCCTATGATACCGGGCGAGCCACGGGAGCATCCTTAGGGCGTCCACCGGCGTCCTCTCCCCTAGGTATGTCATCTCGAGAGGGACCCTTTCCCGAAACTGGCTTCCCCTTTCGGAAGCAGCGCACAGCGGGGTGGGCTCCCCCGCAGGGTGCACATTCATGGCGGAACCTGCAGGAGCTGTACCAGCGGCAGTGGCTCTCATTAAAGAGCCAACACACACCTTTTCTCTGCCCTGCGGAGGAGCCGGAGTTACCTCCGGCAGGCCCGGGAAAGGGGGATGGTCTACTGGGAGTCATAAGTAACAGCCAGAGACTGCCATCCTGCACGGCGAAATCCATACCCGGGCACACCGCCATCTTTTGTCGGAATTGCTGGTCATAGCAATACCAGCATTGCCCGCCATAAATTTTGTAGGCCCCCCAAATCAGATCTAAGTACCCGAACAGGGCCGGAGCCTTATCTGGGAACCGGCGCACAAGGATACTGGCAAATATGTTAAACCCCTGCAACCAATTACCAAAGGTTCTGGGTATCTGCTTACCTTTTTCCGCCTCGGGTACCTCCCCACGGCGTGGTCTGTCCACTGAATCCTTGTCGGGAGAGACCAAAGACAGCAGATCCACATACTCACCTCTCCAAATCTTCTCTTGCACATCCATAGGGACATGCAAACCTAACGGTGCAAGATCACATCCCACCGAACCGGCACGAAAAGCCCCTGCGGCAGGCTGAGCCCTAAGGGTTTGAGAACATCCCTGCGCCTGACCCTCAGCCAGCCCTGGGAGACCCTGTCCCTGAACCTGTCTAGTATCCAACCCAGTAAGATAGGAAGGGAAAGTGGCCACTAGGGTCCTAAGCAGGCGCAAGCACTCACTAGCCTGATCTTGGGCCCCAGTCCCTGGCACGCCGGCGCAATGTAACCACTCACCGGACCGCTGGGGAACTGCAGGCACCGAAACCTCCTCCTCTTCAGAACCAGAATCCAACCAAGAGCTCCTAGGGACATCTGCAGCTGGACCTGAGGTGTGCTCCAGGTTAACCGTTCCGAAACCGGCTGCCTCAGGGTGATGGGGGTTGACTCCGGCTGTCTGGGCTCTCCTGTGGTCTCCTCTTCTTCCTGCCGACCGTCCTCTGCGTCCGGCGCCCTGAGAACTCCGTGTTCTGGACCGGGCGCCGACGTTGCGTGTCATTTCCGGGTTCGGGACGCCGCCGGAGCGCGTCACTTCCGGGTCCCGTGATCCGGCGGGGCGCGTCACTTCCGGTTGCGCCCGATGATGACGTCCGGCGGCCTGACGCACGCTGACGCTTCCACTCACTTCCGGCGTCCTCTTTCTTCCCGCCGTTGGGGCCGGAAGAGACGGCGGGCTCCGAGATCTTCCCGCCACGCCGCCATCTTGTCCACCAACGATGATGGCCGCCGCCGGTCTCCTTCCACTTCGCACCGGGGAAGACCTGGCGGTGCCAATCCGCTCCTCCCGCTGGCGACCTCGACGTCTGGACACCGGACTGGGGGACAGGCGCGTAGGAGGCCTGGAACGCCTGGTCCTCCTACCGCCATCCGACGGGATCGACGAAGTCCCTGAAGCTGCAGCAGGAGCCGGGCGATTATCCACCCCAGCGATCACCTCCTCCAAAGCACCGGATCCATGAGAGGCAAGGTACGCCTGCAATAAGGCTACCACATCTTCCCTTGACACAGCTGAAGCCATTCTCCCGATGCCAGATGAGGGGAAGTCAGGTAAGTAGAAAATCCAAATGAAAAATAGTAATAATTGAAAAATCTTTTTTTTTTTTTTTTTGGACAGTCCCAGGGGAAGCTAGCAACACTACACCTCTGCCCAGGAACTGGTGAGTACCCTCCCCTTTTTCCCCATCTTAATGTCCCCCCATGTGTAACAATGTATCCCCTTGTGACCCAACCCCTTATCCCTGCCAGCAGTCATGTCCTCCCTTCCTTAAGATGTCCAGGGAGGTACTCTATGATCACAAACACCGATTTTAGAGTATCTGCTGAGAACGAGGATAACTGACTGCATTAATCAGCAAAACTAATAATCTTGAACGTAGACAGAGATATTGTTGGGGGACGGTGGTTGTTGGGGTTGTTGGTTATGCATCAAAAAGAGACACTGGCAGATTGTGAAGAAGCGTGTTAGGCTTTACTTGTGTGGATAAACAGCACACGGTTATAACATTTTAGTTACTTAAAACAGCAGCCAGCAGGGTAAAAGGAAGAGAGACATACAGGAAGGAAGTTCTTATCATATATAAACGGTACTCTGAAATGCACAGCGCCATCTACAGCTCAAGTGCTAATTATATACATGTTATGCAGTACATACTGATGTATTTCCCAACAGGGGTGCCATACAAGGAGGTGTTTCCGGTTTAGATGTTTAAAGTATAAAGTCTCTTGCAAACTTCCTATTTTATGTCGCTTTAATGGATTGTGGCTTCTCTATGATGTGAGGTTCCTTCTATGGTCTCTCTACTGTTGGCCCAGTGTAGCGGTTCCTTCACCCATACGCTGGACTCATACCCTCACACCAGCATACAGCATTGAGGCATTTACTGGGTTCATAGTACAGGGAGGTAATATGTACTTACCTCTGCAGCACTTTTGTCTTCAGAGTGACTGCCCAGACATTTGCAAAGAAATGGAACATGACCACACTCAGAGATTCCTTTAATTTCTCTGTGTATGAACGTACGCCACCGCAGGGGGTGAATTAATTTACATGCCATCCTCTAGCTGTGCCAGTTCATACACTACTTATTGCTGTGCAAAAAATTCACTTGACAATTCTGTTTTGTGCTTTTCCCCCCCACCCCTCTTCAATTGGTTGCTAAATCTTTCTCCACCAACTCCATGCAGGGTTTGGTGAGGCGGCCCGGGACTGTATCACCACTGTACTCTAGAACTACAATACAACGATTTAAAATGACAAGACCCACACAGGTCTTTACACGCATCGACATGGAAGCCCCAAAGAATCTATTGTGTACCGTGCGACAAGATGTCTCTTCCTGCGTGACAGTTTATGGGATATGGTTAAGGCACAACAGTCAGAAATTAATATATATTCAGGATTTGCCTTGTTTTACTGTTTTCAGAGACCCGCATTGCACAGAATAGTTCCTTTGTATCTGTTTGGATTGCTTTCAGATGTCAGTGGTGTACATAGGCCTTTTTATGGAAGACGAGTGAAGTTAGTTCCGCTCTGAAGTACATTGCTCATAATTATTATTATTTATTTTTTTATTATAACTGAAAATAACAGATTGCATGTAATATTGCCTCTGTGTGCATTATTTTGTAAATCATATCTATATGTTAACTCATTAGAGTTAACTCATTTCCTGGCTTACCCTTGCTCTGTAGGGGGTGGCCATTTTAGATCTCTTATCGTAAGGTTTGAAACTGACTCAGAAAATGTCTTGAGATGTCTTGTGCCTGCAAATGATGGCAGTATTATGAAACACACTCTAACTCATGATTATGTGCGTGGTTTTTGGTTGGAAGTAATGTGCTTCTGACAAAAGAGAACTGACAATATGGCCGCTCCCAGAGACCAAGCGTACACATTAACAGAGGCATTTACTTCTATGCACGCAGTACAAAATAATACACATAGGGGCTATAATACGTGTAATCTTTTATTTAAAATAAATGACCCTTTTCTTTCAATATATTTCTGAATGTTTGTATTCTTAAATTGCACAATGCAGCAATCACTGTGCACAACCCACTCGTAGCATCGCAAGGATTTATACTTAAAATAAAATAATTTATATTCACTTTGTCTGGCAATTTCTTCAACAAGAAAGTGTGTGTATATTTTTTTTTTTATGTATATATTAATATATACAGTGTGAGTGTGTATATATATATATATATATATAAATATATATATATATATATATATATATATATATATATATAGTGTGTGTGTTTATGAATATATACATAGTGTGTGTGTGTGTGCGCACGTATATATGTATATATTTTAATATATACAGTGTGTGTATATTAATATATACATTGTGTGTGTGTGTGTGTATGGTAGAAATACAGCAAAAAGAGTGTACATTGCACAGTTTATTCAGCCAGCACATTATTGAGCATTAGCTTTGAATTCTCTCTGCCCTCAAGCTGAATTTTGTTCCGATTCTCTCATGATGTAAAGATCCCTGAACCGAGAAAGGAAATTTGATCACCCAAGGTCCGACGTCTTCCTAATTAAAGTACATTTATTGTATTACAACCTCCTGCCTGAGCATTGGGTTTTGATAGTGTGGCCTTCAATATATTAAGTTTACAGGCTACGTCTGCCATTGTCTTCCATTGTCTGCCAAGTCTGTTAATTCTGACTACTGCATGTACGAAATGAAAAATAAATTAAAATAAAACAACTTTTAAATGACTGTGGCTTATTGTGGCTTTTTTTTTTCTCTATGTCTTGTTTTTTGTTGTATTTTGACCATTGTTTTATAAAATGTCACCATTTGATTTAGGTCTTAAGATGTCAATCTACCCTAAGGTTCCTGCAGTATTTTGTTGAGGTAGTCAGTCAGTTGCCAATAGTCTAAAGTTTGTGGAAGCCAAAATTAGAACCCGAATGTTGCAGAACTATACCTCCCATGATGCTCTGCCAACCTTAAAGTTCTCAAAGCATTATGGGCGTTGTTTGTCCTGCATCATGGATCTACGCTTGGCCGCCATTAGTATAAAGCCTTAATGCTTGAGATGCTTGCGAGATATTTGGAACAGACACTGCAATGTTAAAATGAAGCACATGTCACACACTTTATCCAAGGTATTATGGTTCATAGCTTTTATTGAATTGAATTGAATTTAAGTTATAATGAGAGAATATTAACACACACTGGTTTACAAACAATTAGTGGCGCCATATGCTCTTTTGTCTATTTTTCTAAAACAAATATGTCTTGTTTTAAAATTAAAGGTGAAAAAATGTGGGGGTTACTTAAATTATTAACTTCACTTTCTGGTAGCAATAGAAGAATGTCCGTTGGCTTCCCATGCTCTGTTTGATGACTGAGATCCGATACGATTATTCACTATAGTGTGAATTGTCAGGAATTCAAAGTGAACGCACTGTGTACATTAGCTGTGAAAGTGAAAACTAGATGAATTGGAAATCAGAAATTTTCTTTGAATTCACATTAATGTAAATAAACCTGTGATTTATTTCTGAGAACAAAGGCAATCTTCACACCACTAGCTAACTCATTCTGACTTTCTAACATTTCTAACTCTATCTGAAGACCATATAAGATTGTCTTTACCAGAATAATATTCCACACATAGCCAGATTGTGAAATATTATTTAATTATTCGGAGAATATAAACCTGCCTGATCAACCCGAAGGTGTTCGGTGATGGGATGTATATGGGGCAGCACTGAAGAGTAAGTGAGCAAAATCCATTTGAGAACGGGCAAGCTGGATGGACCATTCAACTCACATCTGCGGCCACTATTTCTTTTTCTATTTTAAGATCTCAGAAGTTGTTCTGTCTGATACTTTATTTCTTTGACAAATGGATCTAAAATTTTGAAAAAAATAAATAAAAAAATTTTAATAATAAAAAAGGACTCCGGGACATGGTCCAAATTCAGAATGAAGGGAACAAACATACTAACAACAACAAAAAACAAACTAAAACCTTATAAATAATATGATAAAAGTCAGGAATGGTTTATCGGTATGTGCTGTAGCAAAACAAAACCTCTGCTATTGCTGTCAGTTTTCCTCACTTCATCAAAGACGATGTGAAGATGTCGAGCTCATTAGTGTTGCAAGCTCTGGCCAAACTCCCCCATCCATCTCCTGTCCTTCAGTAAAATTGGCCTCCGGCAATTTCATTCGACATTTCATCTGTACTGTAATGCCATTCTATTCATTATCCTCTAGTTAGGTTGCCCTTGCAGCTCCGGAATCAGGAAAATTAAGGGGTGGCGCAAAAATCTTTTGTATTTTTTTTTTTTTTATTGGCGTAATCCGGATTATTTTTTTCTATTCTGTGAAGTTATTCTTTTTGCAGTTTTTTTTATTTATTTATATAAACGGTTGTAAAATATTTTTAATAGGGATTGAGCTACAAGAGACGTCATTATATAATTAGATTCACTGCCTTCTTTTTGATATCAAAAATAAATGGTGGTCATTATATTTCAAAGAGCGCGCAAGTACTGTATTCATTTTTTAAATTGCTGTTTGGGAATATCCTGTTCATAATTATAAGGTTATAATAATTCTTGATTACTAGATTTTATTTTAATTTTTTTTTTATGAAAGCAAAATATGCATTTCAAATTGTGTCTGTGAATGGTCTGCACAAAATGATTGTAGGGTTAGAAGAGGGATTTTTTGGGGTGAAAACATTAAGGACCAGTATAGGCAGTAGTTTTAGTCCTGCAATGTAAAACATTGCTGTTTAGTAGCCTTAGTAATGTTTTCTTTGTAAGCTTATACACATGTTTAGTAGCGGTCTTCCTGACAGCCAGTAGAGGTGATTTCACTGCTATAACAGTCGGATTTTGCTATGTGATTCGATGTCCTCATGCATTGCGTAAGGATGTGGAACATCCTCCTACTGATCATAAGCAAGCGTGGAATTCAGTGTTTCCCTATAAGATGAATTTGATTGGACGAGAAGACAAAAAAAAAGCAACATCAGTGGGAAACCTTCAACCTCTGCTCCACGTCTCTACTGAGCACTGGGGGCCACTGAATCTAAATCATCAATAGAACACTATAGCGTTCGAAATGCATGCATTTATTCCTAATGCCATAGCGTTCCTTTATCACATTTTCAGTACATTTAGGACACTTAGTCAAGGCTACCGTGGGAGCATTATTATAAGGGGGATTTGCTAAATTCCTGAACATTAATAGACCCCTAGGAGAAATCTGCTTTAATTACGTTTGAAAGAAGAGCAAAGGAAGAAGTTGTCTGCCAAGTCTGACCTTTGTATTCCGGACCAAGTGTGTTCATTCTGACTACTGCGTGTACTATATGAAAAATAAATAAAAACTCTTTTAAACGGCTGTGGCTTTTTATTTTTCTCTGTCATGTTTTTTGTATTTTGACCATTTTTTTTAGATAATTACACCATTTGATTTAGGTTTGTCTTAATATGTCAATCTGCCCTAAGGTGCCTGCAGTATTTTGTTGAAGTAGTCAGTCCGCCAATGAGTTATATACATTTTGATACACGTGATCTGTTTTTATCTAAAGTATTTATAGACTTATAATACTACACTATAATACAGTATATACTTATAAATACTACACTACACTATAATATACAGTATATACTATCTACTATACAGCATATATAGACTTATAAATACGATACTATACTATAATATACAGTATATATAGACTTATAAATACTATACTATAATACACTGCCTGGCCTAACAAAAAAAGTCGCCACCTGGATTTATCTAAGCAAATCGGTGAGAGCCTCCTATTGGATAGTTACTGCAGAGACGATTATCTTGCAGCTGGCAACAAGTTATTTAACCCCAACTGATGCAATGAGTAGCTTCTCATTTCTTAAACAACCATGTCGAGATGTTAGTCTGTTTGAGGAGGGCCAAATCATTGGCATCCATCAAGCAAAGAAAACATCTAAGGAGATTGCAGAAACCACTAAAATTGGGTTAAGAACTGTCCAACGCATTATTAAAAACTGGAAGGATAGTGGGGATCCATAGTCTTCCAGGAAGAAATGTGGTCGGAAACAAATCCTGATTGATCGTGATCGGGCGATCACTTAAAGGTTTGGTGAAATCAAATCGTAGAAAAACAACAGTAGAACTCAGGGCTATGTTTAATAGTGAAAGTAAGAGAGCATTTTCACACGCACAATGTGAAGAGAACTCAAGGGATTGGGACTGAACAGCTGTGTAGCCTTAAGAAAACCACTAATCGGGAAAAAAGGCTTCAATTTGCTAGGGAGCATAAAGATTGGACCCTGGAGCAATGGAAGAAGGTCATGTAGTCTGATGAGTCCAGATTTACCCTGTTCCAGAGTGATGGGCGCATCAGGTTAAGAAGAGATGCAGATGAAGTGATGCACCCATCATTCCTAGTGCCTACTGTACAAGTCGGTGGGGGCAGTGCTATGATCTGGGGTTGCTGCCGTTGGTCAGGTCTAGGTTCAGCAACATTATGTGCCTAAAGAATGAGGTCAGATGACTACCTGAATATACTCAATGTCCATGTTATTCCATCAATGGATTTTTTTCTTCCCTGATGGCACGGGCATGTTCCAAGATGACAATGCCAGGATTCATCTGGCTAAAATTATGAAAGAGTGGTTCAGGGAGCATGAGACATCATTTTCACACATGGATTGGCCACCACAGAGTCCAGACTTTAACCCCATTGAGAATCTTTGGGATGTGCTGGAGAAGGCTTTGCACAGTGGTCCGACTCTCCCATCATCAATACAAGATCTTGGTGAAAGAGTAATGCAACACTGGACGGAAATAAATCTTGTGATATTGCAGAAGCTTATCGAAACAATGCCTTTTTTTGGTGCCGATTTTGTTTTTTGGCCAGGCAGTGTATAATATACAGTATATATAGACTTATAAATACTATACTATAATATACAGTATATATAGACTGTTTTAAACCTAAAGATTCTTCTAATCTGATCTTCGTAAGCAGGTACACATTTTTTTTTTATTTGTTGTTTTTTTTTATTTGCCTGGTTTTGCGTTTTTTGTTTGTGCAATAGTTTTCTCCCAAATATTTTTTGTTGCTATTCTATGATTAAAGGGACACTCTAAGCTACACAACCTACAGTTAGGTATATAAATATAGCAGAGTAGTAATTATGTTTCATATAGACTCTGAGCATTTTCCATAATTTTATAACAAACTGTTTAGAAGCAGTTTGGCAAATATCAGAGTTCACCACGACACCCCCTTCCCAGCCACGTTGATTATGTAGAATTACAGTTCTGGTTCCAGTTCACTAGAATTCACTTTTAAATAAATGAACACAACTGAGGTGTATGAAAACTTGCCAAAAGACCAGAAGGAAAAGGTGACCAAGAAAAAAATGAAAAGAAGAAAAATTAGGCAACTGATTATTAAGCAAGAAAAATTCCATTTTATTTTTAAATAATGTATGTACATTTAAAAACTGTACTGTGTGCAGTGTGCCTGTTTGATATTCATCTTCAGACTCAACGGCACAAAGTATGTAAATTATCACAAATTATCAGGTTTTGGGCAATTTTCAGATTTCTAATCTTTACAAATATGTTGACAAGTGAGACAAAGGATTATGGTTCCAAGCATGAA